GTTATAATTGATAAGACTGTGTCAAGAGTTGAAATTGTTTTACAAAGGTTGTTGGATCGGCAGTGAAAGAACCAAGTCTGGCTTGGATGAGGGCCAGTTCAGTCATGGGGAAGGGAGTATGAACAGGAAGATTCCCTCAACCCCTGCCACTTCACCCAAGGGCGCCATCGTGTGTCTCATATGAGACTTGGGTGGAATGAGAGGTGGGGTTGGAGCAGAGGGCAGAGCGAGATAGGAGGTGTTGAGGAAATAGGAGGAGTAGGAAGGACAAGAGGAGGAGTCAGATGGGGCAGGGGAAGGAGTGGGTTGGTTTCTTGGGGCCGGGTTCGGGAGAGGGTCATTGGCTGGGTCCAGTTGGTCTGAAGAGTTAAGAGAAAGGAGGGTGGCAGTGGAGGGACCGTGGGCTAGCAGAAGTGTGGGAGGAGGTGACAGAAGAGACAGTCTCCAGACAGTGGAACAAAGAGAGGGCTGTTTGCTAAGATAAGAAAAGCCCTGGACATATGGAATCTCCGACCATTTTCCTGGACACTCACAAAAGTTACATAGGTCTCGAATTAGACCAGGTTCAAGGGAGCCGTTAGGCGGCCAGACATTTTGATTATCTCATTGATATTGGGGCCAAATTTGAGTAGGTAAGCGAACTAGCCACTTGGGTTTTAGGTCAAGGCCTTCCAAATTCCTGAGTAAGCATCCCAAAGGAGAGTCCACGGGCGTGGAAGAGCCAGAGCCCATGACCACCAGGACAGTGGAGGAGGTTATCAGAAGTGCAGACATCTCTGAGAGTTCTGACGAGACCTCCCTTTTCAGACCAGTGTCTGAAAGAGTAGAGCTCAGTCTCCTGTGAAGGCGTCCTGCGCACAAGATAGGAGTTTATGTGGAGCTGAGTCTCGGGCTTAACTCAGCAAACCAAGTGGTTTGCTAAAGTGTGGAGCTAAGTCCTGAACCCAACTCACCAAACCCAGTGGTTTGCTAAGTGTGGGACAGAGGGCCTGGGCCCCGGCCTTATCCTGGATGTGGTCCTCGTGGGCGGTCTAGGACTCTGGGATCTCCCGCTACCCGAAATACGTCTCAGGAGGGGGAACTTACCCAATATCCGGTGTAGGCCTGAAGATAGGTTGGATCGGTGTTGGCTGTGAGAACGGCACCAATGAAGGTGGTCGCGGACATCGAGTGGGGGCTGAGTTGGAGCGTCTTGGTATCTGGGCTTCAGGTCCCCAGGTCTTTTAACCTGTGAGCCTGGCAATCCCGGATCCCACTTCTGACACCAATGAAAGGGAACAGCGACGCTCAACAACTAAGCCACACACACTGAAAGGTCTGACTGGAGATTTTATTCAAGGGGTGGGAGTAGAGAGAGAACAGAGAGAGACAGAGAGAGAGGAGGAAGAAAAAGAAGAAGAGAACAAAGAAAGGAAGTTCCTTTTATTAGTTTTGGGCTGGGCTATTGTTTATTTATGAGGAGTGGGCTACTTTTAACCTATCACAGGCCAGGTTGCCTTTTATGGGTTCAGTCCTGAAGAAACAGGTTTAACCTCTCCAGACCGCTGTGGCCTTGGTGGGAGGGAAACTAAAGATAAGAGCATGAGGTCATTTTAAGAGTCAAGAAGCACCAGGAAAATGCAGCCTGTGAGGGTGGCGTCACAAAATACTTTAACATGATCAATTCCCTAGCACTCACCACTGAGCTATAACCCCAGGCTTTTTGTTTTTTATTTTGAGAGAGTCTTGCTAAGTTATCTAAGGTGGGCCCAGACTTGCAATTCCCCCCATCTCAGCCTGCCAATTTTAGTGTATGTGCTGCTGAAACAAGCGTGCATCTCAGCCTTCCAGAGTGCTGGGATTACAGGTATACATTGCCAGGGGCTGATCAGACCCCTCGGATACTGGTAAGGGGGAGAATGACAGGGAATAAAGAGAAACAGAGACAATATTCAAGGTGCAAGGGGACGGAGAGAAGCCTGCCTGTGACAGACTTAACAATCTCTGGGTTGACCCACTTTTATTGGCAAGCCTAAAGCACAGGAATGGGGGTAGTGTGCTATTCATGGAACAGTGACTGCCAGTGAATGTCAGTAAATGTGTAACCGATGAGTAAAGGCGAACAAAATTAATAGGGAACAGATCCTTTCTTCTACCCCAATACCTGTGTTCTTTACATTGACCTCAGCAGAAATCACAGTAGGCCCTGGAGCTTTGACCAGCCTGACATATGATCAACTGGGATTATGAGCAGACTTTTAGCTTTAACTTACGACCAAAATCCTGAGTTATGACCTGAATGCCAGCTGCTTGTGCTTGCAGATGGTCTCAGATGCAGATTACCCTTAAAGTAGGCTGTGTAGAGGAGCCTGAGCCTTCAACTGACCGACCTGAGTTGCAACCAGCCCTCAGGAACAAATTGAGTTCATAAGTCAAGAGTCCGGGGCCGGGGATGTAGCTCAGTGGTTCGGTGGCCTGCCTCGCAAGCGCAAGGACCCGAGTTCGATCCCCGGTACCAAAAAAAAAAAGAGTCCTCTGTGTCTTGCCCTAGAGTGCTGTGCTTGAGTTCTTACACACAGCCAGGAAGCCTATATAGTTTTCCTTTAACTTCTCTGTTCCTAAAGCAAGTTACGTCATCCCTGGACTGTGTGGCATAAGTCACACAATCTGGCCCCCAATAATTCCCCCACAGCCAACAGTGCACCACCACGCCTGTTTGACGCCATTGTGTTTCTGTTCCTATGGCTGTCTCTTTCCAGGTATTCGGTTCTCTGTCTCTCCAGTGCCTCCTGGTCCCTGACCCACTGGGAGTCCACAGAGCTGGAAAAGTCAGGGCCCTGCTTCTAGGCTGGGGCTGCAGCTTGCTAACACGTACCCACTCTGCGCTGCCCCACAGGTGCCTGAGATGCCGCCACTGCCCACGAAGCGCTGGGAGTCCATGGCCAAGGGGCTGGTGCTCGGTGCTGTCTTCACCAGCTTCCTGCTGCTGCTCTACTCCTATGCTGTCCCCCCGCTGCATGCTGGCCTGGCCTCCACGTGAGTGGTGGTATTGGGCACCGTAAGGTGGGGCGAGGAAGGATCCACAATTATTGAAGCACCTACCCTGATGACTGAAACCACTTTGAGGCTGGCACTCTGTGCCCTGCACAATACTATGTCAAAAACTCTGAGCCAGGTGTGGTGGCACACGCCTGTCATCCCAGCACTCGGGAGGCTGAGGCAGGAGGATCGCTGTGAGTTCGAGACCAGCCTGGGCTACATAGTGAGTTCCAGGTCAGCCTAAACTACATAGTGAGACCCTGTCGCAAAAAACCAAAAAAAAAGAAAGAAATTCTGTCTGACCATGAAGGCCAAACTTATGGTAGAACCCATGGATAGTGTGCCCATCTGTAATGGGGGGATAAGAGAGCCCACTACGTGGAATGAGAGAATCACACAAAACCTGTGCCCGGGGTTTGGATTATTATCATCTACTGCGCTAGCTGGGCCACAGTGGGGCATGACTTGTCTAAGAACACTGAGTTGTCAAGGGCCAGGATTCAAACTGGGGTCCGTGTGAGTCCGGCTCCAGTTCCTAACCATCAGGCTACCTCCCCCTACCCCCGTGGCACTACTTAGCACAAACTGGGTACATCCTGTAGCTTTAGTTGGTGATAGTACTTGTAACTGGAGGAAACTGCTAATGACTGAGTATTTTTGGCCCGCAAAATGCAATTTTATGTGGTTCAAACCAATACTGTTTAACAGCAGACGGATGACACCGAGGACTGAGACAGGAGTCCGTGTCTCTCGACTCGCTTTGACCTCATGCCAACGCCACAAACAGGGCCTGTTGTTTCCCCCCACTCCACAGAGGGGGAGGCTGAGGCCAGAGAGGCCAAATCCCTGGCTCGGGCTCCAGCCTGGACTCGGGTCCATCTGGTACCCCATGTCTAGACCCCGGGGCCCAGGGTGTCCGCCCCGAGGTCCCAGCAGCTCCTGACACTCTTCCCCCACCCTCTGTCCTCGGCAGGACCCCGGAGGACACAGCACCCTGCTCCCCGGCCCCTGGTGCCTCCGATGCAGATTTAACCGCGGCCAACAGCTCGTCAGAGGGGTGCCGGCCCCGGCGGGACATCGTGTTCATGAAGACGCACAAGACGGCCAGCAGCACTCTGCTCAACATCCTGTTCCGCTTCGGCCAGAAGCACGGGCTCAAGTTCGCCTTCCCCAGCGGCCGAAACGACTTCGACTACCCCGCCTATTTCGCGCGCAGCCTGGTGCAGGACTACCGGCCCGGGGCCTGCTTCAACATCATCTGCAACCACATGCGCTTCCGGTACCAGGAGGTGCGCGGCCTGGTGCCGCCCGGCGCCGCCTTCATCACCGTGCTGCGCGACCCGGCCCGGCTCTTCGAGTCCTCCTTCCACTACTTCGGGTCCGTGGTGCCCCTCACCTGGAAGCTCTCGAGCCGGGACAAGCTGGCGGAGTTCTTGCAGGACCCGGATCGCTACTACGACCCCAACGGCTACAATGCCCACTACCTCCGCAACCTGCTCTTCTTCGACCTGGGCTACGACAGCAGCCTGGACCCCGGCAGCCCGCGGGTGGAGCAGCACATCCTGGAGGTGGAGAGCCGCTTCCACCTGGTGCTCCTGCAGGAGTACTTCGACGAGTCCCTGGTGCTGCTGAAGGACCTGCTCTGCTGGGAGCTGGAGGACGTGCTGTACTTCAAGCTCAACGCGCGGCGCGACTCGCCGGTGCCGCGGCTCTCGGGGGAGCTGTACCGGCGCGCCACGGCCTGGAACATGCTGGACACGCGCCTCTACCGCCACTTCAACGCCAGCTTCTGGCACAGAGTGGAGGCCTTCGGGCGGGAGCGCATGGCCCACGAGGTGGCCGCCCTGCGCAGGGCCAACGAGCGCATGCGGCGCATCTGCATCGACGGCGGCCAGGCGGTGGACGCGGCTGCCATCCAGGACTCCGCCATGCAGCCCTGGCAGCCGCTGGGCACCAAGTCCATCCTGGGCTACAACCTCAAGAAGAGCATCGCGCAGCGGCACGAGCAGCTCTGCCGTCGCATGCTCACCCCCGAGATCCAGTACTTGATGGACCTGGGAGCCAACCTCTGGGTCACCAAGCTCTGGAAGCTCATCCGAGACTTTCTGCGGTGGTAACATCCGCCCTGGTGCCGGCCTCTCCTGACCCCTTCTGGTGCCACCCTGGACCCCTGGGTGAGGTGGGGCTTTCGTGGGGACGAAGCCGGCCAGGATGGGGCTGTGGCACACAGAAAGGGCCTAATCGAGATCAGTATTTGACTAATTATAGCCATTTTTTATTAAACCCCTGCCCCATGTTTCCTGCCTCCCCTTGCAGGGGAGACCTCAGAAGTAAAGGAATTTGATGTTGTGTTTTTCTTAATCAGCCTCAGTGGTGGTGACTTGGAGGGGCCCGGGGATGGGTGACCCCAAGGGGTACCGGTGGGAGGGGTCTGTGGGTCAGAGCCCAAGGTGGGATAGAGACCCAGGATGTATGTGGTTCAGGGGCTCCTGCAAAACTTCTAGGATCTCTCTCTTTCCCTCTCCCTCTCTCTCTCTCTCTCTCTCTCTCTCTCTCCATGGGTTCTGTGTCAAACACTGGACCACTGCACTGTGCGCGTTTCAACTTATCCTCACCAAAACTCAGTGGCTTGATGACTGTTGTTACCTTATACTAGGGATGAAGAAGGGAGCTCAGAGAGGGAGAATCACCGGGCCAAGATCACTCACGAAGTAGTAGGATTGGAGCAGGGATCTGGTGGGTGGAGAAAGTGGGCAAATCAGGACAGAGTCCAAGCGCGTGTGCGTGTGTGGAACAGGGAGGCGGGGAGCATTCGGCAGGGCCTTGGACAGCCCTCACACCAATCCTCCGAGGTAGACAGGGTCATCTTTACAGGTGTAACTGATGTCCTGAGAGGGGAAGGGACTCGCCAAGGTCATGTTGCAGGACACATCAGATCCCAGGCTCCGATCGTCTCCCAAGAACCACAAATCCACAAATCCTTTCTATCTTCGGTGCTTGTTCACCGCCTCCCAGCTTGCAGGGTTCCAGCTTGCAGCAAACCCTGTTCCCCTACCCTCACTGCTTTGGGGGTGGTGGGTACCTGGAATTGAACCCAGGACCCTGCGCTCGCCAGGCAGGTGGGTGCCACTGAGCTACACCCCGGGCCCTTTCCACCCGAACTTCTGCAGCCAACCCCCGCCTACTTCATACACCGCCCCCGCCACCCCGGGGTTCCTTTATTAAAAAATACTTGGAACCTCCCCCAGTATCAGTTGTGTACTCAGCCCTGAGCTGCCCCCCCCCCGAGCATACAGCAGTCAACAGGTTGGTGGAGCCTCCCTGGAGCTCATGTCCAGAAGTAAAGACGGCCACCAAGCAGCCAAACACAGTCAGGTGTGGCTAACCAGGCTGGGCATGCCTGGCTGCAACTGCCTGCCTCCTTCCACATCCCCAGGGAAGCAGGGACCCTTTCGAGGCCACACAGCTCTCGGGCTTCCAGTTAGGAATGGCATCTAGGCCCAAACGGCAGAAGCCAAGGTCAAGTTAGCTGTTGGGGATCTTTTGTGCCAGGCTCCAGACCAAGCACTCAGAGCCTTTACCTCAATACTACAACCTCCCAGCTTTAAAGACCGAAGCTCAGAGAGGTTGGGACCTACCCAAAGTCACATGGCCAATTAATGCCAAAGATACACCATTAATGCCAAACCGACATCGTTTAGCTCCGAGCGCCTCGATGGGTCGAGCTCATCCTGTCTTCTGGGAATGAGTTTCTTTCCAAGTAGAGTGGGGAGGAGATAGAGTGACCCACTGTCCCGTTTTTGTCCCAGTTTCAACTTTGCAAGCTCTATGTTCCAGAAAAATTCTCAGTCCTAGGCAGCAATGTCTGAACCCGCTATGTAGTCAGGCAGGCCTCAAATTCACAGCAGCCCTCCTGCCTCAGCCTCCCAAGTGCAGGGTGTTTCATCCATACCCTGGAGCCTCCCTGTCTGCACCTTTAATGTTCTAATGAAATAATGTGCCACACCCTTGAAGCCTTTACCTAAATCATATGGAAAGAAGTAAGCAAAAACAACAACAACTAAAGATACAAGTTGCCAGGAGTGGCGGCACACACCTGTAAATCCAGCACTCGGGAAGCTGAGGCAGGAAGCTCTCTGAAAACTCAAGAGAATTCTTTGAACTACATAGTGAAACCCCATCAAAAACGTTTTAAATAAAGAAAGGTAGATGTCAGTCACTTAGTGTACAATATGACAGTATTTTAGATCTAAGGAACCTCATAATCACATCCCTTTAGCTCCCAAACCGTCTAGAAATGCCAATAATAACATTAATACCTACTATTACATTATGCATTATTATTATTGCTATTGGCATTTCTAGGCCCATCAGGATCCAAGAATAAATCTGGCAGATAGCAGGTCCAGGAATTACTTTATTGGAATTTGCTATCTGCATGGCTAGTTCTAAGAGCATTGCAACTAGAGTGTCATTTATAATATATAATTATATTATATAACATTTTAAATAGGTAGTTGGCAAGCAGTGGGCTAACACTGTTCTCAGCTCTGTGCTGAGAATTCTGTGAGAATGTGGGCATCCCCTTCAGGAGGGCTGAACAACCAGCCCAGGGTCTCAGAGCTAAGCAACCACAGAGGAGTTGGTCCACTGTAAAGGCCAGGTCTCCATTTGGCCTTCACAGCCCCCAAACCCCTGTCCTTAGCTAAAAAATAACCAGTCTCAGTGGAGTGTGGTGGTACACACTTGTAATCCCTGCACTTGGGAGGCTGAGGCAGGAGGGTTGCTGCGAATTTGAGGCCAGCCTGACTTACATAGTGAGTTCAAGGACAGTTTGAACTACGTAGCAAGACCCTGTCTCAACAAACAACCTAACTAAACCAAACCAGTCTCTAAGGGACTTCTCAGCGAATTGCCTGAAGCCAGGCTGCTCTTGCAGCACCTGGGCAGCAGAGGGCGCCACGGTGCTGAGTTAGTTTGGTCTTGTCCAGCCCTTACATTCCTGGCTGGGTTCTGGGTACCAAAGGTGGCCAGGCAAATGCCAGCCTATTGTGCGGAATCCAGAGGTGGCACAGCTGTTTAAGGCCTCTGGGCTCCCACATCCTCCTGAGATTTCCCATTCTAGATTTGCTTATCCAGGATGCAACTATGGATTTGCATATTCGAGCCCCCAGGACAGAGAGCAGGTCTTCTTGGCACAATCGGCCTCTAATAGCGCGCACAGTAAGTTTTTAATAAACACTGAAAGATATAAGGAAGGAAGGAGAAGGGGGAGAGAAGGGAGGTAGGAAGAAAGGGGGCGAGGGAGAGGATGAGAGGGAGGAAGGGAGAGAAACAGAGAGGCAGGGAGGTAGACAGGTGTCTCTGCCGCTGAGCCCTCCGATCATACCGCTGACTGACCAGGGCGCCATGCCCCTGAGGCGGGTAACAGACTCGCTAAGGTGCCCCTGCGCTGGAATGAGAGTACTGAGTGAGAGTTCTGCGGGACAGGACCCGGCCCGGACAGTTCTGCCGGGAATGCGTGGAGGAGGCAGGAGGTGACATTTGCTTGGAGAGTAAGAAGCCCACAGGCGGGTCGGGAGCTACCCAGGGACACCAGGGCGAGACAGGGATGCCAGAAAGGAGAGGCAGCTGCCCTTGCCACCCTGGTTGGTAACCTCTCACTGGACACTGACGGCGTACAGTGCCCCACAGTGGGTCATGGAGCAGGGGTGGGAACGATTAAGCAGCCCCTCTAAGCCCGGGTTGGGGAGCCAGGGACACGATCACAGCAGCCAGGCTGTAGGGAGATGAGTGGGCGGTGTGCGATTTCCCTTCCCAGCGAAAGAAACCTCTCAGAAAGCACCTCGAATTGCAACACCCTTCAGACAGCGCGGGTGCGGGGGTTTCAAGAAAGGTGCTTGTGGGACAACAGAAGAAAACCTGAGAGGGACCGGAGAAGAGGCAAGGGGCCCAGACTGCTAAGGGGCCTGCATTTTCTCCTGCGGGTAAGGAGGAGCCAGGGGAAACACCAGGGCTCTCTGCACCAGGGCTGCCATGGTGGCGCTGGGAGGTGTGTGGGCCTAACAAAAGCGATACATTTCTGCCACATGTGCTTAAGAAGGCAGAGTAGTGTGCTGAACTTCAGGGTTTCGATGTGAGTTCTCTGGATAATGAACACACACTGAGATGTGCCGTATTTATCCAGTTCACGTTCGATTCACCCACATAGGAGCCCCCCCTGCCACAATGAGATGAACTTCACTGAAATGGTCTCCGAACCTCTGCAAACAGGAGGTTTTGCAGAAGAAACAAAAATCAGAGCGCGGGAATAAATTTAACATTCAATGAATTCAAATAGAGTAAAGAAAAGAAGAGGAACGTGGGCTGAGGGACCCCGATGGAAGAGCCAGGACCCTGGACCAGAGCAGGTGCAGGGAGCAGTGCCCGAGCTTGTCCCTTGTGGCTAAATCCCAGCCTCTAGGTCTGTAGGGTGCAGGGAGAGCCACATCCCACAGGGAAGGCAGATTTTGCCTCCTAAATGATTCCTTTCCCCAGTGCCAGTGCCTGGGATGTGGGGCGCTGCGTAAGTGCCAGGCCCACACAGTCTCCGCAGTCATCCAGCTACTCTGTGGCCTCGTGCTCCCTGCTTGCTTCCCTGGGCTCTGTCAGATAGGGAGGAAGAGTCTGAGGCTGAAGGGTCCCCTGAAGCCTTTGGCCTAGAGCCCGACAAGGAGCCCACGACCTTGTCCCCGATCAGTGCCACGCTGCCTTGCCCATGTCCCCCCAACCTTGCTGCTTTCAGCTATGGCCGCTGTGTTTCTCAGTCGCGGGCCTCGCTCCAGCAGCGGTCTGGGGCACTGCAGCCCAAACGTGGTAGCCCCGGGGTTAGCCCGCAACCCAGCCCTGTCCAGAGCTGGCGAATTGATTCCTGCTTCCCTAAGGCACAAAGGCTCTGAGAACCACGTTCCACAGCTCCCCCAGGGCCCCACTGGGACCGAGCGCTTCCCTTCCTTACTGATCCTTAAGTACAGCCACCTCTGATTTTTTTCTGTCTCAATTTCTTTTCCTAATCCCTCACTTTCCTACTTCTGTTTCCTGGACTCCTTGACCGGGACCCCTCGACCCGGGATCTTTCTGTGGGCGGCCAGCCTAAGCAAGTCTGCGTTGTGTGTCCGGCCCCAGGGGCGTGGAGGGAGCCATCTCAAGGGTGGTGGGCAAGACACAGCCAGGAGTCCCCCTCACCGCTCATCAAGGCCTCCAACTCACACGTTCCCCCGCCTAGGTCTGGGCCTGGGAAGAGTCTTCCCCAACACCGAAGCCAGGTGCCCCAGAAGCTGTGATGAATCATGGGCA